TATGAGAGATCCAAATCTCTCAAGAAAGCCGTGCAAATATCTGCAAAACTTGCAGACAAATGCCAGCCGCACAAAAACTTCATGAAGCTACCGTGCATGCAGTGAGAAGAGCTGCCATGTCGAAGGTACCCCCTGATACCTTGTTAACTTCCCTGAGAATATCCGATGCGGAGCCTGCCCCAACTGCCTCCCGTGGTAGCCAGGTTACTATGGGTGGCCAGATGGCTCTGATCAAGACACATTTCCTTATCGTTGATGATGCGTTTGTTCTGTCGAAGACCTTAAGGTCGAAAAACACCCTCATAAAACTCCCGGGTCAAACTCCCGATAAACTTGCAACACTCTTTTTCCAGACCTGCAAGAAATTTATTGCCGAGTGTGAGACCCAAAACCTCCCAAAGCTAGCTGTGGAAGGGACTCTATTATTTGCTAGCATTGCACGTTCATTCGAGGCTCATTGCCGCTCGACCAAAACGAACATTGATGCCGCTACAAAGATTGTAGAGACGGCAGAGGAATTGCTTGAGAAGGCTCTAAAGACCTGCCAGCGGCCTTTCCACAACGCCGAGGGTCTGCGTACCCTTGTTGAACAGTCCATACGTTCAATGAAGACTGAATGGTATGAAGAAATCACCTCAGACGAGAAAGAAGCAATAAAGGCAGCAATGCTCAGTGGTCCCAAAGGGATAGCAACTCATTCGGGCCATTGGTACAATTGTTCAAACGGACACCCTGTGAGTTCACGCAATGGTCACACATACTAGTAACCTAGAGTTTCACTTTACTAACCAGTCCTTTAGTTCGCAATTGGAGATTGCGGAATGCCGATGGAGCTCGCTCGTTGTCCTGAGTGTGGTGCATCTATCGGTGGACGTGACCACACTGCAGTCCAGGGGGTCACTCGCGCAACTGAGATGGAGGATTGAACAGGCACCATGCAGTAACGTAGGACTACCAGACGCCGGCATAGCTTGTGCTCAGATCGATGCCTGTGGAAGAGACTTAGATATGCTACTGCCCTCCACCCCCTTTTCTAGTATGGATAGCTCGTTTCAACAATAAAAAAGGAAGACTTTAATAACTATGAACCACTAACTACGCATACCTCGTTAACCATCATCATGGATGCCCCCTTAACGGAATTAATAGACAGACACCTCCTCTGGTATCATCTCCAAAATCACCTGCCAGCTGCAAGATGCCAAACGTATGCGGTGGCCCCAGAAATACCGGTTGCAGCAATACCAGCAACCCGTCGAGCATACCGTCTTCTATTCCTATCGGGGCCAAACCCATAGCCATAATGATTTGAACGATAGCATTATACGACGTCAACCAAGATAGGACAGCTGCAGAGGTTGGTTAACTAGTTAACGAACCAATACATAGCCAGACAGAGGCGTACCAGATGCTATGTCTGCTCCGTATATGTTCGACCACATCTCTGACTTACTATCCCACCATGGCTGGTCAGAGAAGTCGGAGAATAGCGCGGGGCCATTTGACAGCCACTGGCTCCAGGTCCGGTTTGCAAAGGCTTCCGGTTCCCAGGACGATAAGGGTGAATGTTTGGTAGTCAACAGGTACAGTTCATCGATAAATAAGGCTACCTTGGTATTGAGAGCAGCAAGCCGGAACAAGATGAGCTCTATACCCAAGTACGTAGCGACTCAATCGGCTATTCGATGCGGCTGTCAAGAATATGGCGTATTGAATGTTATCATCAGTATTGAAGATGGTGTACATGAAGGGTTTCAAATATTTCTATGACATCGCCACAAATGGACAGGCAGGAGACATGTCCTTCGGATTTAACCACGTTTAAAGACATCTTTCCGAGGAACTGCACCAAAGTCGATTCAGCATAATGAACTGGCAACTTGTTAACACTCCTTTGACAAGGCTGAAGTTGAGATAGCAGTGGCGTCGTTGTCGTCCAGATACCTTGCTAATGACTTTGTTAGCCATGCGGTTTCTCTCATCCAGCAGGGTTTATATGAATACCCAGATGATGAACAACGCGCCAGTGACTGCGCCATGGCAGCTTCAAGCAGTTCCCGATGCCAGATGGGCTGCTCAAGCATTCAGTTTTGCGTCTCTTGATACCCCCGTGCAAGCAGCATTTGATAGACCTTGGAACACTCAGGGGCTACGAAGGACCAGTCGACAGCGCGGAAGGCACGGTTGATGGCTGCAAAGCAATGATATCCAAAACATCCGCCCTTCTTGCATCTGAAATAATTTGGACGCCAGCTACAAGACTCTCAGCTACACCGATCAGCAGCTGATCCATCACTCAGTTTGAGTCTGCAATGGTCCCTTGGCTGCGATCCATGAGGGTGTCTCCTCCTAACGCGGAGACGCCCGTAAACATTCTATCAAAGCTGCCTTTGGAGCTATGGGCACTGATTATGAGCCAGGTGAGTCCTACAACTAGATATACAACGACATTGTTGTATATTATGACTTGTGAGTAACCGATGGCTAACCAACGGACAAAGATACGGTATCAAAAGGACCTACGAAACCTCTGTCTGGCCTGCAAATACCTCAATAACATCGCTCTTCCAGTCCTATACAACCATGTAACCGTCAAGCATCCTAAATTCACTACATATCTCGGACTGAGTGGTACATTAGCAGCCCAGATTGAGCAGCTACCACTGCAACACTTAAAGCATACAAAACATCTCTCCTTTACCCAACCAGAGTTACTCCTGTTACCTTCGTCTCCGAGGAGTGGCAGTAGAGACACCATCACAGCAGAGGAATTCAAGAAGGGGATTATGAAGGCCATAAGTACCCTAGCTCTAGCCATTCCTCGGGACGGCCTACGCTCCTTCAGGTATTGTCTGCTCACCCACTCAACTGTACTAGTTATTTATCTCCTGGCCTGCTAAATTCAATTCTGTCTAGCTGGGACTTGGGGCCGTGTCTTCCCTGTGAAATATTTAGCAGTGAGCGCGGATTGTTCACCAACCAACGGCAGATCAAGAGTATTAATTTGGTTACTTGCGTGATGCATTATGAGACACTTGACTTTCCGATAGATATCTCCCACCTCCGCAATCTCCGTTCATTGACATATACATCGCCGTGGTATCCAGCAGATCTCAAATTGATACAGAGGTTTCTCCAATTGCGCCACCAACTCAGTACTTTGGAGTTACAAATTGGCCCAATAGCTCCAGAAATTGCCATTTTGGGCCACGACACCTTTGATGTCAAGGACTTACTCTTGGGTAACCAGGAAGTGGGAGAGAGCCAACCCTTTTTCAACCTTGAAACACTATCACTGAGGTTATCTCTCAATCACATGGAGGCAGATATTGTATCTGCACTGAATCTTGACTGCCTACGCTGCGTGAAGCTACACAATTGCAACGGAACGTCTAATTTCCTTGATGCTCTAAGCAATTCTACCCAATCTTTAAAATTAGGGTCTTTTCAACTGACGTTTGCTCCATCTCGCCCTGACGATCATAGAAGCCCCGAAATTCTGTCTGCTGCTCTTGCAAGATTCCTTATGGCTTTTCAAACACTCGAAGATCTCTACCTTTCGATACCGCGTATTTCCCTCAAAGCCATTGAATGCCGAACTATTCAGAACCACTATCCAGCGCTTCGCCGCCTGCTCCTTCATGGCACCATTCGGCTAGAAGACCCTTCATCGTATCCCGTGGAAATTTCAGATGACCTCTTTTATGCCTTACTGACGGGATGTCCGGTAGAGTGCCTCTCGCTGAGAATGCAGCTCAGAATACCAGTAAGTGTGAAGCCCAAGGTTTGATGCATCTTACTTCCATAGTGCATTTTTTTCCCCCCTAACCACTGTCTGTCCGCAATTAGATTGAGAAATGGCAGAAGCTGTCTCCAAGACCGTCGTGCAAGTTGTTACAAATTCGACGGGCAGGATTTCGTGAGAATATAACGGACGATAATTCAGAGGGGGGCTTAGGTGAATTATCTTTTGGAGAAGGGATGCGTTTGGACGGTCAGACTACATACCCCTTAACAGTAGCAATTTACTACAATTATCTATACTAACCGTCCCAACTAGATGACGATATACCTACCGTGGAGAATCTAAGGAATTCGAAGAAGCCTACGATCCTATCTCTGCTTGAGTTTGCCGAATGGGCATTCAGTGATGATGGGCTGCCTAAGCTCCAGGTTCTTGTATGGGGAACGTTCACTCGTGAAATAACCTTTATGAATTCACAGCTGTATTTCTGCAGAAGTGAAGACACATTCAAGTCACTGACTCGGGCAGACCACTATGCTTGGGATATTCTGCATGAAAATATGGATATGTTGAGCTTTACATACCCAGTTATATAAGAAATTCAGGCCGGAAAATCCTGAATTGAGAGCAGGGTGAATGTCGGCACAAGCCCTTCGATGCAATTTGCCCAGTCATTGCTATCCTGAAGTAGAGACGGGGAGCATACACGCATTGTTCCGCCTAGACATGATATATACATTTTTACACATATTACTTATCCCCCAGCCCGAAAACAGGGAAATCACCCCATCCTGCCTAACTTTTGCTCCGTATAACCACTCACTTAGAAGCACCCTTAGTCTCCTTATTGATAGTCCTCGCCTTGCGCACTTCTTTTTCCATCTGCTCCGTCTCCACGCTGTCTACCTCTCCTCTATCGGCTTTGACCTAAGTATTGCCGTTAGTTAATCCCGTATAACCCTTAGAGTGAGGTCCAAACGTACATCTGCCTCACTGCTGCTTGCAAGGCTATTATTCCACTTTCCATGGCCCTCCTTGTGTTTGGACAGGTGTTCATGCTTCTCCCTCTCGACTTCGGAGGATACTTCCTGTGTGTCTCGGTCTGTTTGGGTAGCTTGTTAGTTGCGGAGCTATATGCAGACGGATACGTGCATAGGGCTGAGTGGACATACGTCTGTCTTCCTCCTTCAGGGCTCTGTAGGACGGAGACGTGTGGAATAGATATGCCTGGATAAAGGCATGTCTAGTGAGAGGACGGAGCTGGAATCTGCTGCCTCTAAGCATGGAGGAGCGAATGGAGGATGTGATGGAAGCCATTGCAGTAGTCGCGATAGTAGTTGTATGGTAACGAGGTGGTTTGTTTGGTATGACGTCTCGAGATGTAGTAGAGAAATATAAGAGCAAAACGGCCAATGCAGGATGGATGACGAGTTCTACCACCTTCCAATCAGCCCGTTTGTGTAAGTCAGCAGCAGGGACCCGGTCAATTAATGGAGTAGATAAGTTCCTGGTTTTTTTGATACACGCAAGAAGCTGGGTTGGAGGATGTTCTGCGCATCCGAGGTGTGACGTCATAGGCTCCAGGGCTGAGGTCTTGCTACACGAAGCATTCCAGCATAACTAGAATGATGGGAAGAAGATAAGACGAAGTAGCATGTTCATTGTATTATTTATTCAGCGCCCTAACAAGCAGGCGGTCTTGTTTTTCTTTTCTGTCCTTTTCCTTTGCATGTCCACTTTTTCCATCGAGTCCTTTTGGATGGTGACCGGAGGATATTAATGAAGAATGTTCAACGAGACAAGAGAAGAGAAAGCGTAGAGAGAACTAAGGAGAAAGAAGGAAGAAGAAAAAGAGAGAGACAGAGAAATAAATAATAGTAGATAGGAAAGCAAAAATGTGGCAAGCAGAATACACTTCTGTTGAAAAAGAGAAGAACGAAGAAGGGAGGAGACGAGTATATGATATGGGCAGAAAGGATGCAACCAACCGACCAACCAGCCAGCCAACAACAACAACAACACCCGAGTACAGCAACAGACACACCATCCATCCATCCGACCGACCGACCGACCGTCCATCCGGGAGGGTTTTTTATAATGTAATATGTATCATGGGGGGGAGGGAGACGAGTTCAACAATGAAGAGCCGACAAAAGACAACAACACAACGACGCAGCAGGCGTTCTATCATCAAGTAAACGACAACCGAACCAACGACGAGTATCCAGTATCCAGTATCCAGTAGTGGGCAAGTAAGTAATCCAAAGAGGTAATGGTATAAACAGCAAATATTTTTCGAGTTCGAAAAAGAGGGGGGGGAATTCGAAAGGTCTTTTTTTAAGAAGTGAAGTCGAGAAGTGAAGAAGTGAAAACAAGGGCATGAAAACACCGACCATTCCTCCAGTTCCGTCCGTCCGCTCCGTATATGTATTGTATGTAGTATAAGTATAGTGTTGGCATATCGTTAACAAAGAGATGATGAGTTGCAAAATATAGAGGTCGAGGAAAAAGATACACGCCGTCGCTCAGCCCGTCGAGAGAGAGATGAAGAATATAGTAGAAACGAGGTTTTCATCGATTACCGAAAAAAAGTCCGTATAGATGGTATAGTGTTGTTGATGCAAGGAAAATAAACTGGAATTAGCGAGCGAGAGACGATTCGTCATGGCGTGAAGGAAAAAAAGAACGTATGAGAGGGTGGTGAAGTCAATCTACCACTCCCGTCTGGTAGGACTCGAGACTCGCATGCCGGTGCTCGGGTTGACGATGGGGATGGCATTCCGTGTCCTGACGGCAGCAGGCTGATGGATCTTGCCCATCATGCCCGACATGGCCATGTGCCCGCCCATGCCGTTGATGTGGTGTTGCTGCATGGGGTGAACCTGGTGCTGCAAGGGAGACGAGTCTGGCGAGGCACTGCCCAGCGAGCTACGGTCCGAGGCAGCAAGGGAGTGGATGGACTGCAGGTCGTCCTCGGTCAGCAAGTTGGGGCAGAACTCGAGGTCGTCGTCGAGGTCAAAGGAGCGTCCGGCCTCAAAACGGGCCCGGAAGGCGGTGATGGCAGGAGCCTCGACGAGATCCCGCATGGACTTGACGCCACGGAACTGACGGGAGCTCGAGGACGAGGCAGAGGCGGTTGTTGGAGCGGGAGCGGTCGAGGGGGTGGTGAGCGAGCTGAGGCTCGAGGTGGCGCCGGCGTTGGACGACGGGGTGAGCCGTTGTCGACGACGGTGGTGGTGCTGGTGCTGATGCTGATGCTGATGCTGGTGCTGGTGCTGATGCTGGTGCTGGTGATGCTGGTGATGAGACATGGTGGTTGCTGTAGCCGCTGGCAGGTGTGTTGGAGGCGCCGGGTGTTGCTGGTGGTGGTGGTGGTGTTGTTGTTGGTGTTGTGGGCTGTGGTGGGCGAAGAATAGCGCAGACATGGGGGATGACTCTGACACAGATCGACTGCAGAGCATATAATAAAGAGGATAAACGAAGAAGAAGAATAAGAAGACGAAGACGAAGAAGAAGACGCAAAGAAGATCGAGAAATGTCAAGAATATCGCGAATATCAAGGAAGATCGAGATTTGAGGTCGAGCAAAAAGTGACGAAGTTGCGAAGGAGTCGAGAAAGTCGAAAGAGGGAAGCGAAGGCGGTGAAGCGGGCGAACGAGCGAAAAGCGAAGAAAAAGCGACCAAAAGTGGATTCTGCCGCTAGGCCTGAACGAGAATGCCGATCGATGCAGCGCGATGGAGCGTGACTTCTCCTCCCGTAGTAATTTGTATGAGGAGAGAAGTCACTCTGCATGGCAGTGCATACCCTTGCATCATCGTCCGCCTGACCAGCCAGAGACCCAGCGAGCGACCCAGGGGGTACTTCGGCTCTCCTACTTTCTTACATACAGACAGAAGTATCTCCGGATTTTAGCGCCGAGTTTCATCCATTAATAGCACAGCAGCAGTGACAGGGAGGGGGGCCGACAGCGACGAGACGCAGGCTGCAGGTCGAAACATGTACATGCAGAGGCCCAACGCCAGCGCCAGCTTGTTCCTCCTGCTCCTCCTCCTCCTCTTCATCCGCTGTCTGGCTGGCGTCTGCAGCTGCTACTTGTCGAGAAACCTCCCCCGCACGTAGCGGCCTATCGCCTCGCGCAGGCCCTTCTCCCCGTAGCCCTCCCACACCTCATACAGCGCCACCATCTCCTGCGTGCAGTCCACCACGGCCTCGATCGACACCTCGCTGCCCGCCAGCCACTCGACGACCTTCTGCACCCGGCCCCCGTCGCCCATCCCTTCTCGTATGCCCGCCGCCATCCCGGCAGAACTTGTCGTGCCTGTTCCTGGACCGGTGCCAGTGCCAGTACTGGTGCTGGTGCTAGCGCTGGTGAGGGTGCCTGGGCCTACTGCCCCTGTACTGGTGCTGGCGCTGCTCGTTCCCGGCTTGAACACCACAGCCACAAACACCGCCATCACGGCAATGACGTGCGGTGGCTGGAGCAGCGGCAGGTCCGTCAGGTAGCTGTCGTTCACCACCGACCAGGCCAGCGCGATCTCGTCGGAGCTCAGCGTCAGCCCCGAGCTCGCCGTGTTGGTCAGCGTCGACGAAAAGTCCGATAGTGTTCGGTACGGGTGGTGCACAATCAGCTGCGAGTTGAGCTCGCTGATGAGCCAGAACTCGCACTCTCCGACCTTTGCACTGTCGCTTAGTATGAATTCTACCGTATATTAGATACTGACTCGCCGTGATAAACATATATAGATATATAGACATAGATATCACCTACCCGGCCATAGTCCTCTAGCCTCTGAGACGACATACTTGATATGCTGCGGACACTCCTCCGTCTTGCACGCAAGGTAGAAGGCCGTCGTGAGCAGCAGATAGGGGTTTGTCCGCCGGATGCTGACCTTCGTGAAGAAGCGTTTCACATATACTTGAGCTGTTGCTAGAGCCTGCTGCCGCGTGTTCATCCGCTTGCCCAGCTTGATCAGCTCTGCGCCCGTCAGCACACTGCCCTCACTCACTCACTCACTACTGCTCGAGCTCATCAGACTTACGCTGGTTTATGTAGATGTTGACCAGCCGGTGGTCGGGCAGCGGATACTGCGCAATGAAGGCCCGGTCTGCCTCGTCCAGCGCTGCCCGCGTCTCCGCCAGCTGCTCGCGGTCAAACAGCCAGAACCGCCGCTGCGTCGAGGTCCAGTAGTTGGCCGCCATGCATCCTCAGCCTCGCATTCATCTACTCTCCTTCTTTATATTTCCGTTCTCTATCTTATTCTCATTCTATATTTCTCTCTTTCTACGTCGTTTCGTCCTTTTTGCGTTGTTGATAAGAGTGATTACTAAGCAGTGTAAATGACGTAAGCCTTCAGCCAATCAGAGGCCGCCAATACAAAAACAACCAAAAAAGCGACGACGAAGACAAGTCGAAAAAGCATGAAGAAAAGAACTTCATCAACGCCAACTTCATCCGCATCTTCTCAGCCAGACAAGCGAGCCGATGATACTGCTGGACATCGTCTGCCGGGGTAGAAGAACCGCCGACACTGCTATCCCGCCGCCTCGCCGCGCCGTCTGATGTGCAGCCCACTCGAAGCGACTTGCAACTGCGGCCCGCACCGCCGGCAAGAGCCTGGATGCGTCGACCTGCGAGCTCTCTCTTCGTAGCAGACTGAGGCCAGCCGCTCGTCTACTCGTTGCTGTCTGCTACTGTTGCACTCACCGTTGCTATTGGTACCGTCCGGTGCTGTCGGCTGTCTGCTGTTGTGTGTGCCGGTTAAAGCGCAGGCTTGAACCGGTGCCCTCTATAGTTGCTCCACCCTTCCCTATCAACAATGCCCCAGGACGGTAATGAGGGCACGCGAGAGCGAGATGAACGCATAGAACGTCTCTGGAGCTCGCTGGATACGCGTGGAGAAGGGCAGATTGATTTCAAGGGGTTCAAAAAGGGGCTGAAGAAGATCGATCACCGTATGTTATTGTCTTCTACTACAACTACATGCTATGTGGTGTTACATCATATATTGATATTCCCTGATATAGCTTTAAAAAATGCCGATGACCTGCTATATGACATTCTCAAAGCGATAGACACTAGCCAGGATGGCCGAATACAGTATTCCGGTGCGTTGACATCCTAAAGATCTAGTAGTAGAAATGCTGACGATGGTTTGGGGGGGTCAGAATTCTACTCCTTCGTTAAACAAGCTGAGAATCAGCTATGGCGGCTCTTCCAAGCTATCGACCACGATAAAAATGGCCATCTCGACAAGCAGGAACTAAAAGACGCATTCATCAATGCTGGCTTGACCGTACCGAGCTCCAAACTAGATCAGTTCTTTGCCGATGTAGACACAAACAGAGATGGGGTCATCAGCTTCGACGAGTGGAGGTATGCCCTCCCTACACCCTCATCTTGTCCACTGCCACCACACTGCTAACACCCCAGAAGGGACTTTCTCCTCTTTCTCCCCGACACCCATAACCTCCGTTCCGTTATATCGTACTACTCCGCAACCGGCACCCTCAATCCCGAGGGAGACGTGCACATTAACAAGACCCTGCAAGGATCAGGTAGTTACAGCTCCTCAACCCCCCCAGTTTTCCTTCCATCCATTCCGCCGCGAGTTCAGCCTCCATCACACCAGTCCTCCCCAAGACATATTCCCTCCACCTTCACCACAACTCCCGCCTGATCCAGCCCAACACCCACCAAGATCCTTTGTTTTGCGCCTCCTTATAACGACCACCATAAAATAGATCAGGGATTAGAAGTGGAACTAGAGTTCATCACCGTCCCTTCTCTCGTCAGATTATGGCTGTCGTACCGCTACCTAGAAGAAGTATTGACCGAAACCACCCCCCATGTAGGCTACTTCCTTGCCGGCGGGATGGCCGGTGTTGTCTCCCGAACCGCTACCGCGCCTTTTGATCGGTTGAAGGTCTACCTCATCGCTCAAACGCATACGAACAGCGCGAAGAGTGCAGCCATCAACGCAGTCAAGGCCGGTGCACCGGTTAAGGCCGTGGGGTGGTTGTCTTGGCCTATCGTCGAGGCCACAAAGGAGCTATGGCGTGCTGGAGGCATCAGAAGTCTTTTTGCTGGTGCGTTTCTCCCCCGTCTCTATGTTCAGTGTAGATCTGTATCGTCCCTAATCCTGGCTGACAATAATGCATAGGAAATGGCCTGAATGTCGTCAAGGTCATGCCCGAGTCAGCTATCAAGTTTGGTGCATACGAAGTGAGCTTTTCTGCACTACCTCCTGCATGCATGCACAACTTAGCTGACTTATTTTAGGCTTCAAAACGCTTTTTCGCCAGTCTTGAAGGCCATGGTGACACGAAGAATTTGTTGCCCATCTCACAATTCCTATCCGGTGGCATCGGTGGCATGATCTCCCAGTATGGATCCCTGTGCCACAGCTATCCTCTAATCCCTGCACCAAATTAAAAGCCGCTAACTAAGAATTCTAGATGCTGCGTCTATCCGCTTGATACCCTAAAATTGTAAGGCTGCCAATATCACCGCTTTCTTTAGTTTCTTGTCCCTAACACCCACCCCCTTTAGCCGCATGCAATGTGAGACCGTCCAAGGTGGCCTCCATGGCAATCAACTTATATACTCCACTGCCTCTAAAATGTGGCAAACAAATGGCATATCAGGCTACTTCCGAGGTCTTCCCCTCGGTTTACTGGGGATGTTCCCATTCGCCGCTATCGACCTTATGACTTTCGAATATCTAAAATCAACCCTGGTATCTCGCAGTGCGCGACTAGCTCACTGCCATGAATCTGACGTGCAGCTGAGCAACTTCTCAACTGGGGCCATCGGTGCATTCAGCGGTGCATTGAGCGCGTCCATTGTTTACCCACTTAACGTGCTGCGTACTCGGCTCCAGGCCCAGGGTACCGTCCTGCATAAACCCACCTACACCGGTATTGTCGACGTGACCGTACGCACGGTGCGGAGCGAAGGTGTCTACGGTCTCTTCAGGGGACTAACACCAAACCTGCTAAAAGTCGTCCCCCTCTGTATCAATCAGTTACATTGTCTACGAAAACTCAAAGCGGTTATTTCGGCCTGTCTTAAAGGATCTCGGCATTCCATAACTCATGACCCACGACACGTCTACATACCTATCTACCCCACCTACCCACCCTATCTACTATACCCACACTCGGCCTCATTTCCATTCTCATCATGTCGGCCCGTCCTGTAAGTTCACTTCACTTCATTTCGTTAGCATATATCCGGCGCGCTTTCAAGGGCTACGTACATCACTTGGTTCCTGCTTTTACATGCCATTCTACCATCCTTGTGTTTGGGTACATGCTCCATTTAACCAGGATACTTCCCATTTTTTTAACCTATGCAACTGGCTCACTAGCCGAGCCATTTCATTTGTGCCTATTTCCAATCTTGTATCATGACATCTTGTTTATTAAAAAAAAATGATAAAGATAAAAGATATAAAGGGCACTCAGCAGTGCCGATTTGATATGACATGTCATTGCATATCTCCTTCCCAGGCTGTAATCGTTACTTTACCTTACCTCACTTCTTGAGAGCATTAACCTCCTCATCCTTACGCATGATATCCGGCAACGGTCCAACTGGAGTGATGGCAAACGGATTGATCTGTCCATGACTCTTGGTATAATGCTTCCTGATATGCTCGAACTGTGTCGTCTCCCCAAACGCCGGGATGTCCCAGTACAAATGCCTGAGCCAGCGATGAACAGCCGGATATCCAGACCTAATATCACGAATATTCGTCTTGAAGTGCTGCACGTATACGGGGTCGAAGCGGATGATGGTCGTGAACAGCCTGATGTCTACCTCTGTGATATCTTTGCCGAAGTAATAGGGCGTAGAAGGGGAGTATGTCTTGGCCAGATGTTCTTCGATTCTGTCGAGTGATGAAAACAGTGGCGTGATTGACTTCTCATACGCTTCTTGTGTGCTATGTTTATGCCTCGTTAGTAATTCCTTGCTCGATTGAATTGTGTGAAGGTAGACATACGTTGCAAATCCACACTTGTACACGCCGTTGTTAACGGTATCGTAAATCCATTCATTGGCAGTGTCAATGTCCTTCTCTAAGGCAGCAGGAAGCAAATCGACAGATTTATATTTGTCGTCCAACAAGCCGTCGAATTCATGATAGAACATGCGAATTATCTCCGAGCTCTATACCTAGCGTTAACAAGGGTATCACACATCGGGAAATAAAGATGGTCTCACCTCGTTGCTGACAATCTGTTTCGTCTTCTTGTCATATAGCGTCGGCACCGTGAAGCGGCCCTTGTACTCAGGGTCTACAGAGAAGTAAATCTCACGCAGATGAGAGTACCCATTCAATGGTTCGGCCGTCACATTTTCACCCGGCACATTCTCATCAGGGGTAACGAATCGCCATCCCTTCTCTCCCATATGCCAATGGACGGCCGTGTAGGGAATGATATCTTCCAACCCCTTCAACTTCCTCGTGATAAGGGTTCTGTGAGCTACAAACGGTCAGTACAAGTGTATTATGCGACTTGAAACGATACACCAACTCACCCCATGGACAAGCGTAGGAGACGTAGAGATGATATCTGTCCTTCTCCGGCGGGAACTGAGCTCCAGGCTTGCTGGAGATCCAATTCCTAAACGCCGACTGTCCGCGCTTGAATTCGCCGGACTTATCATTTGGATTCACCCAGGAAGTGATGTTTACGTCGTTTCCGGTCTGTCGAAGGTCAGCATCATCATTCTTCTTCCCAGCATCATAATCGCATAGGGCTGTGCCACGAACCGCCATGCTGCGAGTTGATATCGATAAGAACTTCTTGGCTGACGTCAGCGGGGTAGAGGGCGCTTTGAGCGTGTAGATCAGGTTGAAGCTGATGGGACGAAGGGCAGAGATCATAGCATGAAGAGGAGATGGTGAAGGAAGTGAGATTGAAGATATCAAGAGGGATAAACTTGATATCTTATATATTCCAACTATTTGACATACTTGGACGAGGGGGAAAGGCCGAAAGTCTAGACGTGATGACAAATGCTCAAGTAATGCTTATTTTGCTTGCTTCGTCTGGATGTTTGGGTCGCTTTCGCTTACGGCTTCGTGACCGAGCATGACGGAAGCATTATACATCCAGCCGT